GCTGGACTCGATGATCTTCGGAGGTCCCTTCCAGCCCTAATGTCTATGAAATCGATGAAATAATCGGGGGCCTACAGCCCCAGGAGGACTGGCCCAGCCCCCATTGCCCTCCTGGGGTTGTGAGTCCCCATCTGCCTACCAGATGAGAGAGGCTGTTTCAAACTTCCGCATTATAGCGAATGGGCAAAACATCGAAACAGCGAAATGGAACAGCTGTTTTGAATCAAAATGAAATTTGAAAAGAAATACTGTTCCGTTGAAACCTCTAAACTCATGTTGAAATGGAACAGTGCCGTTTCACACAGCCTTTATAATCAACATCCCTGAACATAATCAAGACACTTACCTTTGCTCCTCAGTCACCCATCCATTAACAGAGAGGCCAATGAAACATTATTCCCTCATTAACTTTGCCTATCTGGGGCCAAATTTTGACACTCCTGCCATGACAAAAAACCCTCCAAAAACCACAAAGGTCCATAGTGCACAATTTATCTTAATGAAGTAAATGACTCAAGGACTCAAGAGCTACACAGAAAATCATGATCTAGTCTGAAACTACTTTGTAACAAGGCCTGTCCATTACTGTGTGCCTGTATAGCCCCAGCAGAGCGGGCTATATTTTATACAATAATACAAATAACAAGAATAATAAAGAATAAGTACACTGGAAATGTACAGGAAAAGTTCCCTTATTGGGAGTTTAGGCTATGGTGCTATGTTTTCTGTGAACACCTAGAATCATAGATAAATAGGGATGGATGGAACCACAGGAGAACCATTTGGTCTATTTTGCTGTTTCTAAGGATGGAAATACATCCCTAATATGTAATGCTGTATCTTATAAATCTGAGAAAGAAAATAGATTTTTAACCTGTGGCATCTGAACAGTAAAACTGAAAGGGGTTGGTTGCAATTTTAGGCAGGCATGCTTATTTATATTCCTTGGAAAAGAGTAGAGTAGTCATTTTAGCCAAATGGGCAGTAAAGCTTGGAACAACAGCATAATATCAACTCCATTTCTGGATATCTCTGCATCCAATGGTGCTTGAAAATCTGCGTTAGCAATCAAAGCAAATTCCTTATGCTTGCCAATACAGGAATGTATATTTAATAATGCCCAAGAGACCCGGTTTTTCACATTAATAAATTACATAAGCTTTGCAATGCTACAGGTACTTTGAAAATATAGTTTCCAAGGAAACATTTTTGCATACTGTGTTTATTCTGCTTCAGAGATACAGGGCACATCTACACAAGATGTTTACTGTGGAATTGCCTTATTAGCACTGCAGTAAATAGCTCAGATTCTACATGTGCAGGGCTATTAGATTGGAGTAAACTAATAAACTCTGCTGCTGATTAGTATTTGTAAATATAAGTACCATCTTACAGTGGAGTTTTTTTACTCTATAGTAACACATGTGCAGATGCTG